GAGCACTCTACCACTAAGCCACAGCCCCAGCCCCTCAATTGTTAACTCTTTTGTGAAGTAAAGAAGGAATGTGGACTGACTTTTGGTGCATTTATTTTTTCCATATTTTTATTTCTGCACTATAGTTGCACATAATGTTGGGATTTGTTGTTACATATTCGTACAGGCACACAGTACAAAAATGTAATTCGGCCAATGTCATTCCCCAGTAGATGCAATCACTTCTTAGTCTAAATAATCACTTATTTAGTCTAATGCAATCACTTATTTAGTCTTTTCAGACTAAGAACAGCTGACAAAATAATTACCTAAACAAACCGAAAGTCTTTTCCTATAGTAAAGGGTTTTTTTTTAATATTTTTTTTTTAGTTGTTGATGAACCTTTATTTATATTCAGTGCCTCACATATGCTAGGCAAGCACTCTACCACTGAGCCACAACCCCAGCCCTATAGTAAAGTTTTTTACTTGTGGGGGAAGGAGGGTAATGGGGATTGAACACAGGGGCACTCTACCACTGATCCATATTCCTAACCCTATTTTGTATTTTATTTAGAGACAGGGTCTTACTGAGTTGCTTAGTGCCTAGATTTTGTTGAGGCTAGCTTTGAACTTGTGATCCAGCCTCCTGAGCTGCTGGGATTACAGGTGTGCACCACCGAACCCAGCTGTGGTAAAGGTTTTTAAAGAATTAAGAGTTGTCCAACATCCCACCTACAAGCTAATTTTTGAGTCATGCTTTGTGTCAGTGGTTTCTTTCAAGTGTAAAGTGATGTAATTGAAGAACACTAGCATGTATACATAATACAGAATAAAGGCTGATTCCCTTATCCAAGTGATAACACTAGAGATATTTCAGGTTTCAGAATGTTTGGGATGTTGGAACATGTGCATACACTTTATTGGTTGAATATCCCTAATCTGAAATGCTCCAAAATCTGAGAGAGAGAGAGAGAGAGAGAGAGAGAGAGAGAGAGAGAGAAAGAGAGAAAGAAAATATGAGAATGAATGAGTGTGTGTGTGCGTGTGTGCACACGCACACATGTGTGCAGTACTGGGAATTGAACCCAGAGCTTCATTCATGCTAGGCAAGCACTCTATCACTGACCTACATCCCCATCTCTTTAAAATTTTAAAATTTTGAAACAGGATCTCAGGCTAGCCTTGACCTTTGTGACACACCTGACTCAGGCCTGTGGTGTGTCACTGTGCCCAGCCTAAATCCAAGACTTTTTGAGTGCTAATGCGCAAACAATTTCAGATTTGGAGCATTTCAGAGTTTGGATTAATGATGCTCAGCCTGGGTATTATGGTTCTACCTTATATGCCACTGAGATTATATGATATTCAACAGGGTCATATGATAAAATGATTTTGCTCTTTGGAGCTATTTGTAATTAATTCTGAGGCTGATCTTTATAAGTTTCTTAGAAACAGTGTAATACCTGTTTTTGATATATAAGCAGGATAGAAGACAATGCCTTAGTAGGGTACTTTTGTGCCTAATGACATCATCAATGAATTTCATACTGGAAGGCCTTATTTGACATTTGTTCTAGAAAAACTCATTGTACTATGAAATAATACAAAAGTTTCAATGATTTCATGTTATTATTTCACCAGGTTTCATAATACAAAAGGCACTAGGGAGAACAAGTGCAATAAAATTTTATTTCCAGTTGTTCATTGTTACACCTTTTAGTTTCACTTTTCTTTTTTGGGGGGGTAATATGAGATTATTACAAGAGCAATCACTTGTCTTAGTACATATAGATTGAGTCACATCCCCAGCCCTGTAATGCTGTTTTGATTTGCTATATTATTATGTTTCATCACAAGTATTTCTTGGTTAATGACTACTTCTGAGTAATGGATTCACTTTTGTGAATTGGGGATAAAGCAGAATAATACAACAAATTGTAAATTTAACAAATATAAACAATAATGTGCAAATACCATGAAAAATATGACAGCAGAGATAATTAATGTATTCTATTAATTGACCAGTATGGGTTTTTTTTTGTTCAATGATCATTAACATGACAGAATTCATGAAAATGTAAATTATACATGAACAAAATGACTTCATGGCTTTTCATTTTAAAAGTCATAAGTCTTCTTAGGACTACTTGCTAGATGACCACAGACAATTATAGGTCCAAATAATTCAGAAAATATCAAACAAGAAAACAGAAAAAGAGAACTTATCTGTGTTACTTTTCTGTTTATTAACATCTCTCTAAGAATGATTCCAATAAAAGGTTCCTCTTTAAAGAGTATTTTCTGAATTAGCTGAAGGTTGTACTTTATTATTTCTTAGATCTTTCTCAACTCCTATGTTTCTAAATTATGCTGTTAATGTGCCCAGAGTTTACAGAAGAGCCAACAACAAGAACCCAATAATTTCCTTTAGGATTGCTGGTAGAGCTAATGCAGAATTCTTAAGCAAGAATAATTTCACTTATTCACTCAATAAATATAATGTGTGTCTATTATGTGTCAGGCACTATTCTAAGTACTGGGCAGAGAGGAGTGAAAAATAAAGACAAAGCTCTTGCTCTCAAGGAATTTGTATTATATAGAAGGAGATGAACAATAAATAGAGTACAATTTAAATATCAGTTAAGAGTAAAGAAGAAAAATAAAGCAGGAGAAAGGAACACAGAGTGTGGGGGAGGAAGCAGAGTGAAAATATGCGTCAAGAAGGCAAAGAGTGATGACAGAATACACGAGCAGGTATCTGGATAAAGTGAGGGAGGACTGATGTAAGTGGCAATTGGCAGAAGAGCATTCCAGGCAGAGGACAGTGGAAAGCACCTGAGGCAAAAGTGGGCTTGGTCTGCTCAGGAACAGCAAAGGGGAGGTAGGCAGAAGATGAGATCAGAGAGAAGGGCTGTAAAGGTATGAGTGGGGGTGGGGTGGGTTACAGAGGGTTGGCAAGGACTGTAGCTTTGATCTGAGTGAGATGGGAAACCACTGGAGGGTTTGAGCAGAAGAGTGACATGATCTAACTTACATTTTTAAAGGATAACTCTATTTTCTATGGGGAAACTAGACTACGGGGCAGTAAGAGTAGAATGGAAAGACCAATTAGAAGAAATCCAAGTGAAAAATGAGAGTGGCTGGGCCAAGGTGACCATGTTGGAGGTAATTTAGTTTAGTGTTGTGGTTAATGAGCAAAAATAGCTTGTGAGATAGTCTTAGATGACAGTGACACCTTCTGGCTCACAAAAATCTTACAAAATTTTACGGTGATAAGAGAGAGCTAGTGGAAGAGCAAAGAAAGAAGTCCCTACAAGAGGAGTTAAAAAAAAAACAACAACAAGAAAAGCAGTAGAATAATGACTGGGTCCTCCTCAGAAGAGACTACCCCATTCAGCTGAAGGATCTGAGCTAGAGGCAAGGGGCATCTCACTTGAGTTTATCAGAGAATGTGAGTCATGCCTGTCCTGAATGTATGGGATGCCCCAGAGATGATCTTGGAGTTAGGGCAGGAATGTAGGAACTGGCTGTCCTGGGACTGAAGCTGTGCCTGAGAGACAGGGAGTGAGAGCCCCTCACAAAATGGACTGTGATTACATTACTTTAGATTCATAGATGATTTATTTTCTGTTTACACTAAACTATTTCTCATTATTTTTCTAGTTCTACCTTTGAAGTACTAGGGACACGTCTCTTTCTAGAACTGTTGAAAATTATTTTCAGTATTATTTGAAAATTCTAAAGATCAAAAGGATATTAATATTCATGATACAGCAAAGGTATATATCATAAAAGCAGAATGAATATACTACTTAATTTTGTTTATATTAAGAGTCTTCTTTAAAAATTTTTTTTTTAGTTGTAGATGAACACAATATCTTTATATTATTTATTTATTTTTATGGTGCTGAGGATCGAACCCAGTGCCTCATGTGTGCAAGGCAAGCACTCTACCGCTGAGACACAACCCCAGCCCTAAGAGTCCTCTTTTAAGCACTGAACACATATAAGAAGGGAAATGGATACAAATGAAGAAATTATTACTTTGAATTTATACTATTTTCCTTCCACTCAAAATAATCATTATAACCCATGTTACCTTCTGGATAATGATCTGAAAACCTGGATACTATACAGTGATAAAAAAAGTGCTTTAATATTAACCTATTATGTCCTATCATTCCATTTAAGGAATGCCTAAAAACCTTAAATTGAGCAATAAATATACCACTTCTGATAACTTTGAAATAAATGTTTTTAGAATTCTACTCTTTTGGGAAAACAGGTGATGATCAGTCATAATATTCATTAGTATTATTAATGACATTAATGATAATAAGTTGTATAATAAGCTCTAGATTATGATTTCCAACCTATTTTAACATACTTGTATCACTTTCATTAAAATATATGCAGAATTGAAAACTTGGGACTTAACACATTAAGATAAAATAGAGATCAACCCTTAAAAACAGCATACTACAGGAACACAGCCACATCAATGTTTACAGCAGCACAATTCACAATAGCTAAATTATGGATCCAACCTAGATACTTTTCAGTAGATGAATGGATAAAGAAAATGTGGAATATTATTCAGCATTAAAAGAGAATAAAATTATGGCATTTGCAGGTAAATGATGGTTTTGGAGAATATGATGCAAAGTGAAGTAAGCCAATCCCCAAAAAACAAATGCTGAATGTCTTCTTTGATATAAGGCTACTGATTCATAATGGACCTGGAGGGGAGAGCATGGGAGGAATGGAGGAACTTTATATAGGGCAAAGAGGAGGGAGGGGAACGAAGGGGGCATGGGGGTAGAAAGATAGTGGAATGAGACGGACATCAATACCCTAAGTACATGTATGAAAATACGAATGGTGTGACTCTACTTTTGTGTTCAACCAGAGACAAGAAAAATTGTGCTCTATTTGTGTAATATTAATTGAATTGCATTCTGCTGTCATATGTAACTGATTAGAATAAATAAAATAAAATTTAAAAAAGAGTCAACCTACCGTGGTGATATAGCGAGAGTGGAATTCTGGAGCATCTTTCAGGAACGTAAGGCCAGGGTGTGTATCCACTACATCCTGAAAAAGATCCGAAACTAAATTAATAAATCTATATTGAAAAAAACCCTGTGGAATTTTTTACTTCCTGTAGAATAAGTTACAAGTTAAGCAAATTTGCCATTTTAGAATACTGAATAATGCACTTAAAATTTAATTAATACCTGAAGTCTAAATTTTATTGTAAGCATACTTAACACTGTATACATACTTAAGTACACTATGTATACTTACATTAAGTATACATAGTATAGTGTACTTAAATGTAAGTTAAAATTTTAATTTAACTATATTTGGTGATTTGTGAATCAAATGTATTAGAGGTATACACCATAATTCTAACACATCAAAAAATGTCAAGGATAGTTGGGCGCAGTGGTACACGCTTGTAATCCCAGCAGCTCGAGAGGCTGAGATAGGAGTTCAAAGCCAGTCTCAGCAATGGTGAGGTGCTAAGCAACATAGTGAGTTGCTTCTCTAAATAAAATACAAAATAGGGCTGGGGATGTGGCTCAGTGGTTGAGTCCCCCTGAGTTCAATTCACAGTATCAAAAAAGAAAAGAAAGGAAATGTCAAGGAAATTCATCTGACAGATTTTGATAGGGGTTGTTAAGTAATATTTACACAAAAAGGATGACAGAAGCCAATGAGAATGGTTATCTTTCTTTATCTAGAGGCATGAGAAATTTTTGAAAACAAACAAATAAACAAAAAAACCCATGCAGTTAAAATCTATGTTAATGGGGCTGGGGATAGCGCGCTCGCCTGGCATGCGTGTGGGCCGGGTTCGATCCTCAGCACCACATATAAACAAAGATTTTGTGTCCGCCGAGAACTAAAAAAAATAAATAAATATTAAAATTCTCTCTCTCTCTCTCTTTTTAAAAAAATAAAATAAAATCTATGTTAAATATGTAAGCCAGCTAATGTCCATCAATTTTTATTAAAAGAGAAATGTGGACAAATCTGTTCGTAATTTAGAATTTTGTTTATTTTAAAATTTGTTATCTTGTTATCACTAACAATTATTATAATAATGAATACACTGAATACTGTTTCTATTTTCTAATTAGAAATTGAAAGTACTTTATCCTAGAGAATCTATTAGAGATAATTATTGTTAAAAACCAGAGGCAACTATAAGGGCAACATAGATATAATCTATTTATTGGCTAGTCATCAATGGACAAACATTAGCTTTGTATCTCTTTGTTTCTTCAGAGCAGTTAGGTATATGTATCTACCAATATAGTCTAGAACCAGGGAATCTTATAATTTCTTTTTTGTTTGTTTTTAAATCTAGAAACAATTTTGGACTCACAAGTAAGTTGCAAAAAATATTATGGAGAAATTTCCTAGGCCCTTCTTCTAATTTCCTATAACAACTCACAAACCATAATTTAATGACTGAAACCAGAAATGAATGATGATACAATAATAAACTATAAACCTTATTCAAATTTCACTATTTTTTTTTCTGTTCCAGTATTCTACAGTGCATTCATTTCTTTTTTTCTATACTGAGAACTGAACCCAGGGTGTTCTACCAAAGGCTACATCCGAAAACCCTTTTTATTTTGACAGGGTCTTGCTAAATTGCTGAGGCTGGCCTTAAACTTGTGACACTCTTGCCTCAGCCTTTGGAGTAGCTGGGATTACAGATGGTACTAAATGCACCACTGTGCCTAGCTGCATTTAGTTTTTATGTCTCATTGGTCTCTTCCAATCTGTGACAGGTCCTTTCCTTGTCTCTCATGATTTTGAATACATATATCCTCTATTTATCTTTTTGATTGGTTTATTTCACTTAACATGCTGCCTTCCGGTTCCATCCAATCTTGCCTTACCTGCAAATGGCAAGATTTCATTCTTTGTGGCTGAATAAGCCTCTGCTGTGCCATGTTTTCTTTATTCATCCATCTCTCTCTTTTTTAATTCCTTTATTTATTTCATGTGGTGCTGAGGATCAAACCCAGTACCTCACATATACTAGGCAAGCACTCTACCACTGAGCTACAACCCCAGCCTTTATTTATCCATCTCTTGATGGGTATCTAGGCTGTTTCCATGTCTTGGCTATTGTGAACAGTGTCAAAGTGAATACGGGTATGCAAGTGTTTCTTCTGTATGCTGACATCAGTTCCTTTGGATGTATACTCAGTGAGGTACAGCTACACCATATAGAAGTTCTATTTTTAGTTTTTAAAGGAATCTCCATACTGTTTTCCATAGTGGGTATACTAAGGATTCCCACCAACAGTGTAAAAGGATTATTCTTTTTCTTCCACACCCCTGCAAGCATTTGTCGTCGTTGTTGTTTTAAATATATATATATTTTTAGTTGTAGATGGACATAATATCTTTATTTATTTTTATGTGGTGCTGAGGATTGAACCCAGTGCCTCACACATGCAAGGTACATGCTCTACCACTGAGCGACAACCCCAGCCCCTGTTGTTGTTTTTATAACAGTCATTCTGACTGGGAAGAGATGGAATTGCTTTTCATATTTATTGACCATTTACACTTCCTCTTTCTTGAAGTATGTGTGTGGGTGTATATATGTATATATATATATAATTTTTTTAGAAAATTGCTCAGCTCCTTTTCCCATTTATTGACTGGATTTACTTTTCTTTGAGTTTTTTTTTTTTTTTTTTAGTATCTCTATTTTTGTTTGTTTATGTGGTGCTGAGGATTGAACCCAGTGCCCTCATGTTTGAGGCAAGTGCTCTGCCACTGAGCCATAACCTCAGCCCTTTAAGTTTTTAAAATGTATTCTAGATATTAATTCTTTGGCAGGTGAAGAGCCGGCAAAGATTTTCTTTCATTCTGTAGGTTGTCTTTTCACTCTTCTGGTTGTTTTCTTTGCTGTGCAGAAGTTTCTTAATTTCAGGTAATCTCATTTGTCAAGTCTTGTTTTATTTCCTGGGCATGGCAGCTCCTGAGAATGAAGGAATTTCCTTGCTAAGATAACCACTGGAGTCACCCAGGAAATGACTGCCTGTCCCAATATCTTGTAGGACGCTATGTTTTCTTTGAGTAGTTTCAAATTTTCAGGTCTTATATTAAGGTCTTTGATTTATTTGGTTGATTTTTTTTGTACAGAGTAAGAGACAGGGGTCTAGTTTCAGTCTTTTACATTTGAATATCCAGTTTTTCCAGCACAATTTGTTGAACTTTTGGCACCATTGTCTAGAATCAGATGGCTAAAGCTGTGTAGATTTATATCTGGGTCCTCTATTCTGTTCCACTGCTCTATAAGTATTGTTTTTGTTATTAAGGTTCCGTAACATGTTCTAAAATCAGATCTTATGATGCTTCTAGCACTACTATTTTTGCTCAGGATTGTTTTGGTTATTTGTGTTTCCACAGAAATTTTAGAATTATTTTTTTCTATCTCTGTGAAGAATTTCATTGGCATTTTGATGGTGACAGCACTGAATCTGTAGGCTACTTTTAGCACTATGGCCATTTTAACAATGTTAATTTTCCCAGTCCAAGAACATGAGAGGTCTTTTCACTTTCTAGAGTCTTCTTCTATTTCTTTCTTCAGTGTTTCATTGTAGAGGTCTTTTACATTCTTACCTGGGTTATTCCTAGGGATCTCTTTATGTGTGTGTACATGGGGGTGGTGGGCTACTGTGAATGGGATTACTTTCCTGATGTTGTTTCCAGTGAGTTCATTATTAGGATATAGAAAAGCTGTTGATTTTAGTAGTTGATTTTGTACTCTGCTACTTTATTGGACTTGTTTATCAGTTCTGAGAGTCTTTTGATGGCATATTTAGGATATTATTGTCAGGTCGGTGGCAGTGACTTAGGAACAAAGCACCAAGCAGCCTGCGTGCGCGAAAGAAACATCAATCAGGCACCAATGGAAATGCTTGTCAATCAACAGGGGTCTCCTGGTCAATCCTGGATCTCAGCCAGTTCCTCCGACCAATTCCAGTGGGACAAAGGACTCTAAAAACCCCTTTTCCTGTCCACAGCACTTCCCTTCCTGCTGTAAGCCCCATGAAATTCCAGTCCGATTGAGTCCCCACTGGTTACTCCTCAGACCCTCTTCTTATCTGCTCTGTGGGTCTGATAGAGTTCTGCCTGGGAGTGGAATCTCAATAAAGCCTTTTTAAATCTGCCTCCTTTTGGTTGCCGCCATTGCCTGACTTTACATTTATGCGTATATAGAACCACATCATCTGCAAACAGTGATAATTTAAAGACTTCCTCTTTTTCTGCTTATATGACTTTTTATTTCTTTCTCTTGCCTGATTGCTCTTCCTAGAATTTCTAGTATTATATTGAATAAGAGTGCTGAGAGTAGACACCCATGTCTTATTCCTTAATCTTAGAGAAAATATTTTCAGATGTTCCCCATGCAATATGATGTTGGCTATGTGTGGAGAGTGGTGACAGTGACTGGGAGTCTGAGATTGGGGTCCCTGATGACTTCACGGCTGTGGCATATTTGGTGACTGGGAAAGTTTCTGTGCAAAGGCATAGGATGCCTGGTTGCTATGGAGATGTCCTCCATGCTAGAGTCTTATTGGCTTCGACCTTATTCTCAGGCATGGCAGCTCCTGGGAATGAAGGAACTTCCTTGCTAAGATAACCACAATGTTTCAACAGTTCTGCTGCTCCTGAATCTGCCCGCAAATTAGTGACTTTAAACAATGGACTTTCTTGAGAGCTGCACAATGCTCCTAACATTGCACATTGCAAATGTAGAATGTAACTGAGGAAACAGTTGCATGCTGTTGCTAACTCTGTAACTTTCATGAATATAAAGAATAATGCTTGCAGTCTTTAATCTGTTTTAGACACATATATAATAAAGATTGCTGGTGTAATTCTTTAGACCTGCTTCTCCATCAGAGAACAGTGCTCCACCTGACCCCAGCTGTTTTATCTTCAAGATCTGTGTGTATGACTCTTTATTTCTTCCAATTGCTCATCACCCCTTGCCAGAACCTGTTCGTTTGGCTGTGCTGGTCATGGCAGATATGTGTATGTCATATATA